CAATTTTGAGCCAGTTTGTTTCTATTTAGTCTCTAGGTTATAAACCAAATAATAAAATAAGATAGATCTTTAACAATCCCCTATATCCAATATGCAGAGGGGAGAATAACATTATCACACGGACAGTTAATTAATATATTACCTCCTTGAATCTAATTATATTGGGGTGCTTCAAAGACCTATGGTTCATGATTTCCCTCTGCACATGTTCATCAATCTGTAAACCAAAAGAAAAGTCCCAATCAATCCACGAAATTAAAAACCCAGATTATAAAACCAAAACCCAGGTGAATTATGAAGAAACAAAGACATCCTAGTGAGTAATCACACACATTCACACAAATATGAAATGAAGAGAGAGAAAGATGAAGTAGACCTTCTGAACTTTCTCAATACACTTGACAGCATGAAGAAAAACCAAGATTATAAAAACAAAACCCACGTGAATTATGCAGAAAAACACACATTATGGTTTCAGCATGAATTATAATTTCAAAACAATTAACCATTGAAATGAGAGAGAGAGAGAGAGAGAGAAGAAGCAGACCTTCTGCCCTCTCTCAATATACTTGACAGCATGAAGTTCACCAGTGAATCTATCTTTCACAAGCTTGGCCACACCAAAGTTCCCAGACCCTATGACCTTCAAAACCTCGTACCTTTCCATAATTATCAGCTGCCTCCAATACTACTACTAACTCCAAACACACATGAAAGAAATACAAATATACTCTTATCTCCTCTCCTTCCTCTTTCACTGTCTGTATCGGTTTATATAAGAATCTGCTAGTTGTGGAAAATGAGAAAATGGAGAGATGTAAAGCTTTGTGATTTAGGCACCAAGTAATAAACTGTCCAAAATCCAAATCTTGCAAACTGGTAACTCTGGTGTTATTGTTACTGTTGTACATACATGCACAATTTTGACGGGTGAAATGTGGAATATGATGACACGTGGCATGATGCAAGTGGTCAGAAATTCGGATAGAACTTAACAAGTTCCTAATAACTTGACGTTTTCGGGGTAATCCTCTTTTCATGCTGGGTACGTATATATATATATATATATATATATATATATATATATATATATATATATATGTCCTAGCCTCAATGAACAAGAGTGGAAGAAAAACCCTACCTTTCTTCTTCCTTGGTATTCTTAAAAACCTAAAAGTTTTGATCATCTTCAATGTGAAAATCCCTCTTGATCTTGTATTTTTTCCCTTATTTCTTCCTCTCTAAGCCTCTCTAGGGTTATAAATGTTGAAATGGGGCTAATGGAGGGGTCCTTATATATTTATAGGGGAAGAAACGGTGTCTTGTGCTCGATTCTAAAACTCAAAATCAGTAACTGACGTTCGAACGTCATTGGCGTTTGGACGTCCTTTGCTCCCAGTACTTTTATTTTTCCATCAAACAAAAAGTACTGGAATGCACTATCATTCGAACGGACTTTCACGTTCGAACGTACTTTCTGTTTCTGCTGAAACTTCCAGTGCATTGTTGGCCTATTTAGAGGTCAATTTGAAAATATTTGTGAAATACACTTTTGTAGCCCTAGAGGTCTAATATCCACTATCAAAATTTTGGATCAAATGGACATCAGAATAAAAAGTTATGATCCAAATACTAGGCAATGTCCAAAATCCTTTCTACCCAAATTNTTGATACCAAATATGAACTAAATGCGGAATTCATGGAAGATAGAAGAATATGGACAGATATGGAAAAGATACAAAATACTATTAAGAAAATAAATACTTACAACACTAGAACTAATGGTCTAGTGGAAATAAGCGGTGATAAGGAAGCTCTTCTTTTGCATNAGTACTGGAATGCACTATCATTCGAACGGACTTTCACGTTCGAACGTACTTTCTGTTTCTGCTGAAACTTCCAGTGCATTGTTGGCCTATTTAGAGGTCAATTTGAAAATATTTGTGAAATACACTTTTGTAGCCCTAGAGGTCTAATATCCACTATCAAAATTTTGGATCAAATGGACATCAGAATAAAAAGTTATGATCCAAATACTAGGCAATGTCCAAAATCCTTTCTACCCAAATTTTGTCTAAAATGTGTTTTCACTCCGGAATACTTCCAAACTTCTACAACACACCCTATTACCTCAACTAACATTTTATCTCTACTCTTACAATCCACCTAGTTCTTGCATACCTCATTACATATATTAGCATTTTAAAACATAATTATGTTGTTATATAAAGAATAGAATGTGGGGGTTTACACGGCATTCCTATCGGTATGGTTTATCCTCCACCAGAACGCTGAGGATGTTTAACTGGTATATATATCACAGATGGAGTCAAATGAATAATTCAAGTATTCTTCATGAATGGCTTGTCCTTCTGGTTTGCTTGGATTAATCACTTGATACATCTATAACCAGCTAACCTAAGAAGTTGCTATGTTATGACTAATACCACAAGTTAACCTAAGAAGTGGCTATGTTATGGTTTATTATGTATTTACCTACTATTATGAAGACAAATGAATAATTCAATTATTTCTCATGAATGGCTTGTCCTTCTGGTTTGCTTTGATTAATCAATTGTCATGGACACTACTAGCTAACCTAAGAAGTTGTTTGTGATGGTTCATATATATCAGACCTACCAATTGACTTGCCAGTAACATGGAAGTTGATTGTTGTATGGTAGCATTTCTAGTATTTAACCAATATAACACATATGGGATTCTTGAACTGAAGGATATTTTTTATTATTATCTAAATCTATTTGCAACATAGCTTTTTAATTAAATTAGTTATCAATCTAAGCTCACATCACAAGCTATCATATGCTATCCTATCTAAAATACCAATTTTATTATTTTTATTTTATTTCCTAATTACACACACTCTTCGTAAGATCGATACTTGGTCTTAAAACCGAGAAAACTACAATTCGACTACTTATACTTGGGTGTATAACATTAATTCGATCACCAAAAAGTGTGAATCATGAGTCAAATGGTTACAATGATGCCACATCATTAGATCAACAAATTAAGTTAACAAATTAGGTCCAACAACTTTACTCTTTCTTGTTAATTGAACTTTAAGGCATCCTTAAGAATACAAAATGATTTATTTTTTTCTCTTCCATAAAGTTAAAAAGAATAATAATTGAAGCAAACTTTTTTGTTAGATGATGAACTTTATTAGATAACAATCACAAACATAGCTTTGTAAGTGTAACACATGCTTAATGTGTGTTTCTTAAGGTGCATTGTCCCAAAGTGATGGGATGACCTAAGAGTGGCATGTAACGATTTACATATCTTGATGCTTGGGGCCAAATATTAAAAGTATTCATTGAACTAAATGTATTACAACCAATACCATTCTCTTTCAATGCTTTGTTGTGTGCTATTTTCAAATTGAGCCATAAGAGTGGCATGTAATGAGGTCTTCATGGCTCTTTTGACAGGTTGGAGGTGATTTAGAGGTTCCAAGATTTGTATTGGCCTGTGAATACTTTTATACTATAAGCCTCTCTCTCACTTTCTTTCTTTCTACTGCAATTGAATTCTAATGATTTGGATTGGGCTATGACTTTGGGGACGGAAGTTAGGGTGGTGAGTGTATTTATTATTCTTGGGCCAGTATGGAAGGATTATATATGATTATTGGGTATGAGTGTATTCACTTTCTCTCTCACTTTCTTGCATGCATGCCATCAATTTCAATTAAATTGGGTTTGTAAGTTATTGATAAATTCATCCATTTTTTAGTCACATGTACATCTTACTATCTTTAATTCTACTACACTCATTAAATTTAGTTTTTTTGATTACTAAGTTACCTTCATGCGGATGTATGAAACAGTTGAGGATAATAGAAATATGGATAAGAGTTGGATTGATTCAACATGAAGGCTTTCAAGTGCATACTTTAGAGGGGTTGAGGAATTTCTCAAGTTTGCATACACCGATCAATTGGAATATGCAACGATTTATTGTCCGCACAGGTTATGTTTAAATCGTTATTTTGTTAAATGAGAGGTTGTGCGAGAACATCTTATTATAAATGGCTTTTTAAGGAAGTACAACAATTGGACTAAACATGGGGAAGCCTATGTTTTGAGGCATGGTAACCAAGAAAATGAAACCTTAGATGATTCGAATATTGGGGATGATATAATTGGAATGATACACGAAGCTATTGGAGTTCAAAATGTAGATGTTAGTGTTGAAAATCTTGAACTACCTACAAATGATCCCCCATGTGGTACGAATGAACCAACCACAAAGTTGTTCAAACTTCTACAAGATGTAAAAAGAGAATTATATCCAGGGTGTGAGAAATTCATGACATTGTCATTTCTTGTGCGATTATTGCATATAAAGGCGCTCTATGGATGGACGAATAAGTCTATTATGATGTTGCTTGTGTTACTGAATGAGGTTTTTCCCACTGGGGTGAAATTGACAAGTTCATACTACGAATCCAAAAAAGTAATCGACGACTTAGGGTTCACGTATAAGACGTGGGATGCATGTCCAAACAATTGCATTTTGTTCAAAAATGAGAAGGAAAAGATGGATAAATGTTCGATATGCAATACTTCTAGATGGAAACAACATGAAGGTGAAACAAATGATGCTTTCAATGGTAGTAAACCAATAGCTGCAAAACAAGTGAGGTATTTTACTTTGAAGCCAAGGCTACAGAGGCTCTCATGTCATCAAAAACTGGTTTGCATATGAGATGGCATTTAGAAGGATGGACTGATGATGGTATATTCAGGCATCCAGCTGACTCTCTTGAATGGAAGACTTTTGACCAACGATACCCAATTTTTGTTGGTGGTAGTTTCAATGTTAGGCTTGGACTAGCATCTGATGGATTCAATCCTTTCAGGTCGATGAATATAGTTCATAGCACTTGGCTTGTCGTATTGATGTCATATAACTTACCGCCATGGATGTGCACGAAACAACTATTTTTTATTCTTTCTGTGCTTATTGATGGACCAAAAGGGCCTGTTAATAAGATTGATGTCTACTTGCAACCTCTAATTGAGGAATTAAAAGAGTTGTGGGAGGATGGTGTGCAAACATTTGATGCCTCAAAACGGTAACATGTGTTCAGCTACACGTTGCCTTACTATGGACAATTAATGATTTTCCTACATATGCTAACTTGTCAGGGTGGAGTGCAAAAGGTGAATATGCTTGTCCAATTTGCAACACGAATACTTGATATAATTGGTTGACTCATGGTAGAAAGTTTTGTTACATGGGTCATCGTCAATTTTTAACTAGTCAACACAAATTTTGAAAGGATAAAGTGTCTTTTGATGGGAGACGGGAACATGGTCGCAAGCCTACTACGTTATCTAGAACTTAGATATTGTTACAGATACAATCGAAAGATATCTTGACAAAATATAAGTATGATGACCTTAAGGAAAGGAAGATGAGAGAGGTAGAAAGGGTAAAAAATGTGGCAAAAAAACATAATTGGAAGAAAAAGAGTATCTTCTTTGAATTGCCATACTGGGATCATAATCTAATTAGACACAATCTTGACGTAATGCATATAGAGAAGAATTTTTTTGATAATATATTGTGAGCATAATCTACGTTATATTTTTTGTGATGCGTGCACATGAAAGAGCATAGTATTTGGGGTCTTCAGAATCATGATAGTCATATTTTGATGCAACAACTACAGCCTCTAGCAATCCAAAAATCCATGCCTAAGAATGTGGTTGAACCATTGATAGAATTGAGTAATGTTTTTAGACAATTGTGTTCAAAGGTAAATACTGCATCTGATAATATATTTGAGATCGGATTGTGGTATCACTTTGTCATCTAAAGAAAATTTTTCCACCTGCATTTTTTGACATTA